TAAGACCTACTCTAGGTAATTATAGCAGGATGCTTTTGGTAAAGATGAGGTAGGCTTGTAGATTTCTTCATACACCTGGACTGTGTGTGAGTACTTACACATGCCTCTTTAATCAGTATCTCTTAGGTGCTTCATAGAGGTTTTTTCTGATAGGCAAAAGAAAGTACAGTTTTGCTATTTAAAACTTCTTGTCTTTAATCATAAATCTAAAAATGCTGTCATAACTCAGCAGTCAGTTATTGTTTCATTTGCAACTGGAAATATTGTGAGTTCCACTGATGGTATCAGATTGCTGCCTGGTAGAGCACGCTGTGATAGGTTTTTCCCACCTGTCTATGGGTAAATGCAGCACCAAACCCCAAGCTATTGTGTGCTATTTACAGAAGAAATTAATCATTCCTTCTTATTATCAATAAGGTTCAAATGTAAATTTCCCTTGGACACAAATGTGCTTTTTGTATGACATTTCCCCTAGAAATCCTTTTTGCTGGTTTTGCTCCTGAGGAAGGTGAAGGAGCACCATGACCATAGTTTCCAATCTCCCTCTTGTCATTTATGCCATCACAGAAAGAAAGGCTCCAAAGTTCAAATGGGAGAAAGCAAGCAGTAGCTTGGGGAATAGCTGATATTTAATTGATTTTGTTGCTTTGCTAAATTGATTGTTTTCTTGCTAAGGAAATGAACAACCGTGCACCATTCTTTATTGTTATCAGCTGATTGTACTTGTTTTACTGCACAATTTTGCCAGAGAGGGGTTTTTGCAAATATTGTGCAGTGGAATGAGTCTGAACTAAAATGAATGCAAATGTTTAATGTTCACAATGCAGCATGCACAAGAGCCTATAAGAATTTGCAGATAAATTTGCCTAGATAAGCAGTTTTTAAGCCATCATAAGATACAGAGATTCAGCCTCATGAAATTATGCATGGAACAGACTAGGTTTGTTGAAGACCAAACAGGCATCTGTTAGCTGGTTAGATGTAAGGTGGTACCATTATCAGTGGAGGCAGATACAGGTGGCACTGGGCTAGGCAAGCAGCTTGAGGGACAGTCAGGGGGATTTTCAAGGGACAACAGAGATTTTTCCATCTAAATAGAATTCAATTCATTAACCAGAACAAAACCAAGCCAAGTGCCTGTGCTGCATGTGAGGAGTGGGGCTCTGTGTCCCTGGGGAATGCTATTCAAAAATTATTAGACGGTTGTGGGAAGGGCACCCTGAAAAGCTGATGTGTGAGAGTCTGCTGGGAATCCTATCTTTGTGAGGGGTATAGAATCTTCTTGTAGGGAAATGTATTATTTCTCATTCTTCAGAGGGACTTTCTTTCTGTGAAAATCCTGCTAAGACAGCTGCAGTCATCAGAGAAACATCTGCTTGTAAGGTCATCTTCTGTAGAAAATGTTTTGTCACAGAATGGAGAGGGCTTCTTTCACTGCCAAAAAGCCACTTTAAAAGATTGACAAGAGAGATTAGAGAGGACACAGAAATTTTGGAAGACGTTCTTTTAACCTTCTTATACAGTGCCATCTTGGCAGTAGCAAGTCTACGGCAGGATTAGTTAGGGACCAAGCATTTCTGGAATTGTGTTCCTTTTTTTTTATTTCTCTTTCCATTTGGGGTATCAATTAACTGCAATTTTACCAGGGCAGTAAAGCAAGAGAATAAATAATAAATAAGAAGCAAACAAAATTAAAAACAGTAATGAACCTTATGAATATGGGAGTGTTATAATGTTTGAAATGCATTTATTTTGGGGCATCACATGTTCTGGGAAAACATGATGACTTTGTGAATGTATTGTCTCATTTTACATGGCAGAGACTCTGTTTCTTGGCCCTGGAGGCTGACAAGGAACTGACACCTGTGCCCAAGCCTTGGCAGCAAGAGGCACGTTCATTATGCAGCAGAGTTGTAGATCCGTGTGTCCTCAAGGCAGGGGAGAGGAGCAAACTTTACCCTTGCAAGGAAATACAGGTTAAGTAGCAAAATGACTGCAGCAGTGGATTTACTAGCATGGCTGATATTCATGGAAACTGGTGCACCTGTGCACCACAGTAGTGCCAGCTGCTACCTGGGGGAAGTTTTTTTGGGAACTGAATACTGGGCACAGGAGAGCCCATCAGAGCTGGGAAACTTCAAGATATTGTTTCTCTATTAGTCAAAGGAATTGAAAAAAATTCATGTTTATAGTGCCTTTTTTGCATGGATCTTAGCTACAGATTGTATTTGCATAGTGAGAAGAGAGTCGGTTTATAATGATATTGGAAGAAATTCTTCCTTGTGAGTGAACTGGCACAGGTTGCCCAGGGAAGCTGTGGCTACCCTCTCCCTGGAGGTGTCCAAGGTCAGGTTGGAGGGGACTTGAAGCAGCCTGGGATAGTGCGAATTGTCCCTGCCCATAGCAGGGGTTGGATCTGGACAGTCTTTAAAGTCCCTTCCAACATAAAGCATTTTATGATTTTGGGATGGAAAAGCACAAACTGCATTTTTGGGGTCCCTAAATAAAATCTAGCAGAGAAAGGTGAAACAGTATGGATATGTTAAATAAGTTTTATAAATATTTTGAATTATCTAAAAAATAGTTCAGTGAAAACTTACGCAAAAATACACAATTGAGCAACCCCCAGTTTGGCAAAAGAGAGATGCGTGTTTTACCAGTTGATAAGTTCAAGGTTGCTTACTTTAGAAAAATGTCAGTTTTCATTAAAAAAAAAAAAACATTTTCCAGACCCTGAGAACATCGTGGTTTGTAATGTCACTTGCATGGTTTCTATGGGGCCATATTTATAATAAGGGTAGACTTTCATTAAAGGCCTGAAGCATACACAGGTAGTTTTTATTTTAAATAGGACTATCTACATAGATTATAAGAGGAAAGTTTTGTAAATGTGGTATTTCAGAAGCAGTGGGAAGCAATTAGAATCATATGTTTAGTGAATTTTGGTGGTCAGAAATGCATTAGCTAGGATCAGGTTTACTCATTCATCATACCCTGTTACTTATAGATAAACAGGATGATATGTCTTGCTAATTTCAGATATCATTATATAATATAATTGTGTTCTTGAGATGCTGTTGAAGGCCATTTGCAATTACCATTGTGTATAGGAAACACAGGTTTAAAACATTGAGGTTAAGTGTGACACAGCAAGCAGAGCAATTGTGTTGCTGGTGTGTGGGCTGCCCTGGGAGCGTGGTTATTCCTCTGTGTGTGCTCTGCAGCAGAGAGCGAGTTTGTATTGAAAGCTTGAACCCACCGTGACACTAACAAAGGTATTTAGCTTTTTAAAGCTAGAATTCTAGATGCCATGATCACTGGGTTCATGCTACTACCCAGATGAGCTTGGGAGTGTGCCAGGAAGCTAAAAGCAGTTGATAAACCCCAGAAGAAAAGTAGTAAATCAAAAGCAAGAAAGCTTTTGAAAAATTTAAAAAGTGGCCTATACATAGGATGATCATATAATTCTGAAAAAGAGCTTGATTGCCTCACAGAGATTGCTGTGTGCCAGAATATTAATGGTCAGACCCTGAGAGCTTTGCACTTTGATTCTAATGAATGTCCCAGAAGTTTGCATGTTTATATGAACATTATCTCTGTCTAAAATGGTGAGCTTAAAACCTTAACTCTGCTGGGGTTTGATGTGTATCCTTTAATCTAGACCCTGTATTGATGGGATTATTCACATGAGTGAGGTTTTGCTGGCTTAGTCCCAACATTTATGTGATGGATTATATTGGTGCATTTGTTCCATCGTTGGTAGGAATGATTTCAGCTGTGGTTTTGCTGTGTGAACTGGAACTCCCTTTCCCATGAGATCGTCTGGCAAGGAATATGGGTTAAATGCTGTACTATTCTTCATTACCAAAAAAGCAAAAGGCACATCTCAGATCCTCTCTTCCACTGCTTTCAGCTTCATTCAGGAGTGTGATCTGATACTGAATTGTTCTCTAATTATTTAATTAATTGTTTTAAAGGCATGATCCCCATGTGCCACTAAGCTACCAGTTCTAGAAGCACAAAGGTTCTTGCTGAGTCTTTGGGGAAAAAGAGAATGAAAAGCTTTCTATAGGGTTTATGCATATCTTGATTATGTGCTCTTGAAGTGGTTTTGTGACCACTTACTAATATTCCTCTGTCTCCTTACTTCTGTTTGCAATGCCAGTAGGATGATAATGTTCTTATCATACTTCTGGCTTTTCATGTTCCTTTTTCCTCTGAGTTTAGACTGATCTCTTACTTGGCATTATGGGCATGTGGATGATTAATTTCAAAAACATTGTCAATTCCACTGATATCGAAAGTACTAATAGAATGCAATTAGTATGCACATACCTAAGTACCTGCAGGGTTGTAGCTTTATGCATTCAGAAATATGATGTACTTGCAAAGTCCAAGGATTTCAATCCCCATCAGTTGAACTGTTCCTGTGTTCAATAAAGAGATTTTGAAAAGGGTCTGCATAAAAAAGGTTTTAGCTACTTATACAGTGGCCAATCTCAGAAAGTGCCTGAAAAAATGGTCACATATTTGGAAATTAGTGTTACTAAAGAGCAATTCAGACCTTAAAACTATGGCAGATGCCACAGCAGTCACCACAACTTGTATGCCATGGGCTTTTCATGTCTGTGCTTCTAATTTATCAGTTCTCTTGCATCAAAATCAGTTAAATAGGTTTACGGTTCATTATTACATACAGAAAACTGCATTAAAAGAAAACCCTGCAGCTGGAAAGTTGGTAATACATAATTAAGGTAAGAATTAAATTAGTAGCCTTACTTCATCTCCTTTGTACTTACAGTGCCACATCCTGTTTTGCGTTGGACACACTCGGCTATAGAATTTGACTCCCAAGTCTCATGCTTATTTACTCTGTTTCCATGCTAGCTGTATATTGGATTGCTTTTGCTGCATTTTATTTCATGTAATTCCTCCACCCTGTCTCTATAGTAATGCAGTTTTAATGTCCTTTCTTTTTCTTTTTTTCTTTGTCTCCACAGCAGCTTATCTGATCATGGCATTATTTCCGAAACTTGGAAGACAAAAGAGGAGGAGGCTGAGAACGTACTGAGGTTCACAGTGACAGGAAAAAAGTAATGCTCAAACTGGAACTGGGGAGTATCAGCCTGGATTCAAGGAAAAATAAATTTTCTAAGAGGGCAATTACCCTTTGGACCTCCAGAGTTGTGCACTCTCCAGTTTATATAGCTTTTCAAGACCCAAATGGACAAAGCTGTGAGAAATCTGATCTGAGTTCTGGACTGACTTTGCTTTGAGCAACAGATTGGTCTGAAGGTCCAGCAAGGTCCCTTCCAACTTGAGGGAAGCCACAGTTCTGTGGGAGCATTGCTGGGGCTCTCTGCTATAGCTTTGTAAGTTGCTATTAAGTATTAGAGAATTGGTTTTCTTTTTTTTTTTTTTTTCCCTCCAGTTTTGGACTTGGCTAATTTGATTTATTGAAGAGAGTTCTCACTCAGGTTCTTTATTTCATTATTTTCCTTCTTTTACAATTTCAGCTTCCCCTTCCTTCCTCTGTTTCTTATACCTTTGCCCTCAAGTTTGGGAGTGCAAAAGCATTTAAAGAAATGAGTTGCCAAATTTTGCTAACCTTGGCAAGGCGTCTTTGTTGCATTTTTGAAATGAGATGTTTTGGCTGCAGCTTTAAGAAAGTATTAATAATCTGGAGCCAAGCACTCAGAAGAGAAAATAGTATCCTGATGCATTGTAATTCCTTAAAGGGCAAATGAAGATTGTGTTATAATTAGAAGTCTGAAGAGCTTAATTTCTGATAAAGCTGATTGGGAGCTTCAGCTAGGATCTAAATTAATATGAGATTCCTAGTAAAATATTTTTTAATCATAGGTGTTAAAGAGATTCTCTACTAGACTTTCCCTGGAAAAAAGGTTCATACCAGGTGTTTGAATACTTCTCTTGCTTGTGGATATGCAGGTGTCTGCTTGAAGATGCATGAGGGGAAGCTCACTCCTCTGAAAATATAACATGCAATTAAGGAAGAAAACTCAGTGTTTTAAATGAATACTTAGAAATAGATAGAAATATTTAAAATGGGAGATGAAGTTAATTGTGAGGGCTTTATGTAATGCATTCAAAGATTTTGGTTTAATCTACTATTTTGAAATATACTTTTCTAAGAATTTTTAAGAACATTAACATGGCACAATTCTTTATATTATATTTGTAAGAGACTAATTTGTCTTACGACTACATAATTTAGTTTGCAATTTTCAAAATGCTAAATGAAGTGCAAAGGCATTGAAAATATTTTAAATTTTTTTTAGCAATTTTGTTTTTTCCAGAATAATGTTTCTCAGTATATTGGAATTATGTGCAATACCAGAGGAATTAATTGAGTTAGTGACACTCATTATTGATTACTGTCCATCCTTACAGCTATTTATAGATATAATTTTTTTATGTCTCAAATGTGTTTACATATTCTCAGGATTTTAACATCATTGATATTTTCAGATGTATTACTGTACCACTCACCTCCAGTAAAACTTTGCCTAGTTGTAAATAGTTCAAAACCACTTAAGTGAAGAAGAAAAAGTCTTTTTTTTCTCTGACTGGAATTTGGCTGTTGAATCTCACTTTGAAATCCTGTCCCTTGGTAAAGGAACCTGTTGCTAAAGTTTTCATTAGTTTTATAAGGAGAGGATTGTTTAGACAGAGACTCTGAAAAAGTGAGCTGGAGAGAACAGGAGTCACTGAAAATGTCTTCAGTGAATAAACAGCTAAAATTCTGTGTGTCACCAGCAGGGTTGATATGGGGTGTCCTAGGAGACGGGGTGTCAGAAAAAAAAAAATTTGGGCTCCCTGCCAGTGGTATGGGCAAAATAACATAATAATGAAAGCAGAGGGAAAACCAGCAGGCGCTGGTGGTGGCTCTTCCCCTCACACGGCCTCCGTGCTCCTGCCGGTGCTGCGCCCTGGGCCTGGGGGCCTCATGGCCACCAAATGCACCCCACCCTGCGTATCCAGGCCAAAAGGTGTCTGTGCGGGAGCAGCCAGGGAATTCCAGAGGGAATTCATCACTGGCCAGGCTGGGAGAAGAGCTGCTGGAGACAGCTCTGTCAGGGAGGGTGGGCAGCCAGCGCTGTGTCCTGGGGGACACGGCCAGGGGATCCTGGGCTGCACTTGGAAGGGCTCTGATGGCAGGTCAGGAGAACAGAGATCAGAGATCCTGATCCTCTGCCCAGCCCCGTGTCCCGTTCTGGGCTGAGCCGGCTGGGCCTGTTTAACCCGGAGGAGACTCAGAGGGGATCTTATCTGTGTCCATCTGAGGATGGACCAGGCTCTGCTCTGCGGGGCCCAGGAATAGGACAAGAGGCAATGGGCAGAAACTAAAACACAGGATATCCCTTCCACCTGAGTATGAGTAAAAACTCCACTTTCAGGGTGTCAGGAACAGGCTGCCCAGAGACCTTGTGCAGTCTCCCTCACTGGAGAGATTCAAACCCCACCTGGACGCAGCCCTGTGCCTGTGCTCTGGGCTGGCCCTGCTGGAGCGGGAAGGTCACACCAAATGACCTGATGTGGTCCCTTCCAACCTGACCCATCCTGTGAGCGGGAGAGGATACACAGCCAAAAGCATTTAATTGTGTGCTCTGATCTTTGTGCCTTTTGAACATAAAATGTGCTGCTTCCTCCTCTTTTCTCCCTAGATCTCAGAGGCATTTCTTCATAGCAGCTCTGTATTTAGGCAGCTACCTCATCATTATTCATCCAAGTCATCAAAATTGTAAAAAGGACTAAAAACCCTGATGTGTTTTAAATAAAATATGGGAAGGAGGACAGTAATAGAATAGGAGTTCATATATTTTAGGGAATACCCACCCAAAAGCTGTTTCACAGCAGTTGCAATGTTTTTTTTACTGTTTAAATATTTCAATCAAAGAATGAAATGCGATATGATCGATAGTTGGAGCTGAAATCCTATAGATGTGTGACAGTGTATGTACTCAATCTTCATTCAAAATTTACACAGTTTGTATTTCCTCTGATGTAATTGCCTCTGTACTGTGGCTTTCAATAGATGTAAATTAACTCTGTCATATTTGCTCTCTTTTGTTTCTTGAATATTTCTATCCTTGCTGTAAATTGTATTTCTGTTATTTCCAGTATTGATATTACAACATGTCCACAAGACAGCCCAGTATCTGGAGACATGTATATATCTTTTTGGAATAGTTTTCTTTCACCCTCCCAATTTTATTCATGCAGTTGATTTCTCTTGGCTCTGAGACCAGTTTGGTTTAATTTTTGTTTATTTTGTACAAGACTCTGCTCTGACTCCAGAATCTGCTTTGAGATGAGCAGTGCATAAATTAATAAATAAATTCAGTATATGCTTCCTTTAAGTGGATTGCTTGGCACATCTGTTTTTCAGAGGTTTCTAAATCTTCATAATCTGTATAAGATAAGTTTATTTACATAGGATTAGGAAGTGTGTAATATTTTTAACATGTACAGGGTTTCCCATTAAAAAAAATCTTTGTTTACTAACTGTTACAGTGCTATGGCATTCTGAAGTATGTCTCAATTGTTGGGATGTAGAATACTGGTTCTGTTTAAGACACTATGGGTATCTTAACTATGGTAAATACTTGTTTTTGATGCTGAAAACTTGTTTGTTCTCAGAAGGCTTTTAAGGACTGTTGTATATGTAAATATAGATGTTGCATCTGGTTTAAAATACTGACATTCCTTCAGTATTGTTAAGAGCTTTCACAGACAAAACTGTAACAAAACAATGCTTAACTTATTGGTTATGGCTAGTTGCATTGCTTTGGCTTAACCAAAAGCATTTTAATGGAAAACCAGGGGCATTTTCCATTAAAAATTTCCAATTTGCTTGATTATTTTACATCAAGGTATCAAGGAGACAGTTAAAGAAGTACTCAGCAAACATTGTGGCACCAAATTAAGTCATAAATAGCTCAGAAAAGAGAAGAGACTTCTGCTGAGGCAGGCAGCAATTAGAGAGTTTGTTCTGCAGGAGAGCAGGGAGATTTGAGACACACAGACATGTAAAAGTATCATGTGTAAAGTTGAGGGTCAAAGATGACATTTGTGAGGAATGGGGAAAAAGCTTGCTCTGATGAACTGTATAATCTCAGGGATTTCCTTACTCATACTAAAGTCAGCCATAAACTGCTCTCCTCACAGAGCACCACATTCTTCAGTGCTCTAAATGGAATGGATAGGTTCTATGTATGACCCATGCGTCACAATTTTTATTGCAATACTTGAAGTGAAGGTGGGAAGGAGGGCGAGGCGCAGGGAGAAGGATGGTGTGCTGATCAATGCATGCAGAATGAGCAGTTGGCACTCTTGGTCACTAAGGTGGGGATGTCACAGGTGTTTGTAGGTGTTCAAAATGCCAAGGTGTGCTACCGTCCCATGATCTTCCAACTCCATATTTTGTAAGGAACATAATTTGACTGGTGATGAACATCCACTGAAGGCAGTGTGGGAGGCAGAGGAATGAATACTTGTGAATCCAGTGGGGTTTAAGGCCTGACCAGAGCATTGAGTTTATCAGCACTGAGAAGAGGGAGTGCTTCCAGGCATGCCCAAATGTAAACCCTCAGGTACGTAAGGAGCTGTCCATGAAAGAAACATTGATGGCTGTGACATTGGCAGCCATGGTCCATAAACTGTGGGATTTGGTGTTAATTGAGCTGAGATTCTGAAGGGTTTGAATTCTGTATTAGTGCTTGTCTCCTATCTAAGACTTCTAATGGCTTATGGGTTTAACCTTAAGCCTTTAAACAACTTACTACTCTGGAGAAGTCGTTCCAGATGTGCAGTTAGTTCCTGGGTAAGAAAACACAGATATTTCAGTAAAATCTCTGCATCTGAATCCTCACTAATACATTCATCAAATCAGTTCTCTAATATCTGTGGCTTCTGAGACCAAAGTCTTTTAGAGCTCTTGACCTTTGCTGGAAAAAAAAGGATTATTTTCCCATATATGGCCCATTTATGACCCACACAGATGGCAACAGGTATGTGCACAACATACCTTTCATGCTCCCAATTATGTTTACTCTCCAAAAGGCTGGAAGTCCTGGATATTTCTCATTTATCTGTGTTATACTTGGATAATGTTACGGCCTCTAATATGGAAAGCCTAAAACCAGAGAAAATAGTCCCTGGGTTCTTCCAAGGTCATTTAGAGAGAGGGCACTGAACTTTGAGCTGCACTCACTTTGTGCAGTCCTAGTATGAGGTCCTTAGTTGTATAAAGCCCCCCAGTACAACTGTCTCATGGTTAAATGGAATGCTGTAGCAGAAGCAGGGCCACATTTTTGCTGACACTGTGTCATGATATAAATAAAATGTTTTAAAAGGCACTTTTTTTTGGCGCTTTATCATTATGGTGTTCTTATATTGACTGGCTAGCATTTTGATACAGGACCTTATAGATAAAATAAAAATGAAAAATGTGTGGAAAATTAGTTCCTAGTTGCAAAATATAAGTTGCTTAAAAATGGAGAGAAAGAGGGGGGGAAGAACCATGTGTCTGGATACACCAAGGCACATTAATATACAGTACACCTTAAATACAGCGACATAAACCAACCCTAAAACGCCTTTATTTGTGAAGGGAATACATGGAAACATTTCTTTAGAAAGCTATTTGAAATTGAAACATTTGGCATCAGTTCTACTGGAAGTAACCCAGTCCATGGCCACAGGGATGGTCAGAAATCAGGAACATGGTGATGAAACAGAAGAAAAGGGGCAAGAATGGGAGCAGAATTAAAATGGTGCGGGCAGGCAGCTCTTTGAGAGGCAATGTTTCCCATTTCTTTCCTAAGCACATCCACACTTAGTTTCTGAGAAAGCAGGAAGGACACATAGGCAAATTGCCAACCAGATGGTGCAATCGAATAGGAAGAATGCTTTCAGAAGGGCAGTATAACATAGAATTTAAAAATGCTATCATTTGCTTTCCTGATACAATATAGGAATAATTTGCATGGAAAGAGTTAATGTTAACTATATACTCATGCTTTCAATTCATCTTTGTGACTTAGCTCCAGAAAAATGTCTATCTTTCTAGTTCTCCTGTGGTATCCCCTCTGCCAGAGTAATTTAATGTGCTCCAATTATGTGTTTCTTTGCAGAATTTTCAAAACTGCATTATTATTCTCTAAATATGTTTTTGGAAATACACAAAATTTAACTCTCAGAAGAATGAAGTCCATTTTCAGGACTTCTGTAGTTGTTATTATTATATAACGTGAAGAAAAGAAAATCTTATTTGCTATCTAGGCTTCTATATGACCACTAGATAAAGATAATATCAATGTGGAATTAGTGGCAGACAAAGGGATCATCGTATTTTTTCATGTTATGTAATTTCCAGTTTCTTACTGAAACTATGTGGTGCATATTGTTTGCATTTAGTCTTTGGAATAATTTTATATTCTTTTTTACTTACAATGTATTTTATTTCATTTGGAGTGTATTTTCTTTCTATCATAATTTGGCTCTTTCAAAATCTGCCTGAGTGTCTATTGCATAGATTATGCACATACAGAAATACACCCTGCTCTTACTTGTGTCTAAATTTCAGAAGATACACATAGAAATGCATAGAATGGTAGCAAGAATATTTTATAATTATATTAATGTAATTTTTCCTATTAGTAGCACAGTTTTGATTATGTGATTGGATGTAACAATTTTATGTCAATACATAATCAGAACTTGACAAATCTAGTCGTAATTGAAGAGAGGATGCACATCCTGGCAAAAATGTAAGAACCAGCCATCTGTCCTGATGTCAGCCATTTTGTTATGTATTTTATGTCTATATCTTTATGTTCTATAAATATATATATGACATATCTATCCTCTACCTTAATTCTTGTGAATGGCTTCCAAATGAGATTCAGCATATGAGCATTACCTTCATGAATCTAAACAAGAGCTGCCACCTCTTTTCTCTGCCCAGTCCTGGCTTGTCTTTATGTACTCTTGTTGACAAGCATTTGTGGACTACAAATAAATCTGGAAATAAAAGGAAGTTCATAATCCATTGAATAAAATTTTTATTAATAATTTTTTAAAAAAATTAATTATTGAAGCACTTTTTTTGTGTTTTCATTATCTGGATTATGGAGAACTGTTGCCATGCTTTTTCTAGACTTACTGATTTCTGAATCTATTTATTTCAGTACTTGAAAATCCAGTCTGGATTGAGAAACCAAATATGATGTTCATTCTTTCCTTCTTGGACATCCCTTTTGGTTATAAATATTTTGCAAGTGAGACATTGATGGGCATAGAACTAGCTTTGTTGTATTCAGATTGCATTCCCTGTAGCACATGTATAACCTTATTTTTTTCCCAGGTGAGATTAAGAATATTTGAAATCTTACCTGTAATGGTAAAATCTTACATGAGCAGGACAATCAGAGACAATGCTGCAGTTCAGCTGGTGGAATTGCACTGCTGATTGAGTCAGTGGTAGGGGTTTTTGTGAAATTCATATCGCTTCTGATGGTCTTGCCTGCTGGTGAGAGAAGCTAATTTCCATTTCACTTTTCTGGATTCTAAACCATAGTAAGTAGTTTTAGCCTCAGTTTCTCTAAGTAAGAGCAAACTTCACTCCTGCCAAACTTTTATGTGAGAATCTGCTCTTGCTTTTTCTACATAAAATACTAAGAGAACTAGTTGACAACTCATCTTTGGATAAATAGTAGTGTTTGATGTCATGTTCTATGTGAAAATAATGTCTTGAAAACTTAGCTGGACAGTTGAAAATCACAAATAGCAGGCAATGTCTTTTAAAAGAAGCAGAAGTATCACGGTGTGACATGACCAATGTTGGTAGCTGCTGTGGGGACAACTGGGCACAATGTCAAATAACAGAAGTTGAGTAATTCCCAACTCCATTGACTTCAGGTGAATCGGTCAGAAAAAAACACACATAAGCTGAGTTAGGAATTATTACAAAATACATAGAAGACAAATTGGAAAACATGACTCTGTGTAGAGATCTGTTTTTTTCTGCTTCTTCAGTGCTATGAGTAATTCTCATGCTCCCATTTCAGAGTGAATATGTGTAGAGTGATAAAGGTGATCAGGTTTCTGGAGCAGCTTCCATGTGATGAAGGAGATTTGACACTCTTCAGCCTGGAGTAGAATCAACTGAGGGAGAATTTGATCGAGATCTACAGGACTGGGAATGACATGAAAAAGGTAAGTGGAAGATGACTGTATCTTCTTCACATATAGGAGCTGAGCATCAACTGAAACTAATAGGGCAGTTCAAAACATAGGAATGTTTTTTTTTTCATACTCATATCTTAAGTAATGGAACTCCATTTCAGAGGTCATAAAGGGTGCTGTAAGTTGACATACATTCAAAACTGAAACAAACAAGTTCAATCCATTCAAAGCTATTAAATATAAACATGATGACTCTTCAGAAAATCTCTGAGCCATAAATGAGTGGAAGCTAGGGAAGGATAAAGAAGTTTAGTAGTATTTATGTACTTTTTTCCTTTTTTTTCCTCTTTTGTTTTTCTTGGAGTTCACTGTTGCTACTATGATACATAAAATTAGGCGTATGCTGGTTCAATACCTCTCAGAGCATATCTGTTTAGCTTGTTATTTCAGGTTCAGGGTCATAGGAAATAAATGATTATTTAGGAATGGCAACAAAAGAAATCACAGCTTTGTATTTAGTTTTTCTGGTGGGCAGTACTTTGCCTCCAGAGTCAGTCCTGAGTGCACAAGCATGGTGTTAATGGATGGCTTCACTGGAGCTGTCAGCATTGAGTCGGATAAGACAGGACACTGGGATTTTGACCATTTGTGGTCATTAAAGTTATCGTGTACTTATTATAGGACAGCAGAAATTAGCCCTGGTGTCCTGGTCTAATTCCAGCTTATATGCCTCCTGCAGTTTGACTTGGATAGATTCCTTTTTCACCCTTCAGTGTGTGCTGCTGGTTTAGTGGAGAACAGCACTGTAAAGACTTCATGTGGATAAAAATTCAGTGCAGGTTATTTCTTGTCTAACACAACAAACACAGTAAACTGCAACAATTCTTTAACATAACGGGAATGCAACAGATATGTGAACAGTTGTATGTTCTGTAAAACACTGGCTATAATTTGCACCAAAGGAGGGTCAACAATCTCAGTGAATTGTGTTGAAACCAGCAGAGCTGCACGTCTG